TCCAAAAATTCAGGAGGATCATATTCTGAAAGCGAATAGCCAGAATCACCACCAGCAAAGGAGGAATGCATTGCCTCCCTGTAACTCTCATTAGGTTCATTTGGTGTAAACGTATATTTAGTCCTTTTAGCCTCCATCGTACTCCTAATGTTCTCCTTTCCTGAAACAGAATTGCATAAGAATTTTATGTAAAAAAGAGCCAGAAGCCTTTAGTGTATAATTATCTTGGAATTACACGCTTGGAAGTTTCCAAAACCATCTTACCGAGGGTATAACTAGGCCTCTCCATGCTTTGATCTCCGCTAGAAGAAGCTGGAGAGTTGCTTCTGGCCAGAGACTTTAAGGAAGTATCAGGACCATTGGAACATAAATACTTCCGCTTTGAAGAGGCGGTTCTTAGCCCAAAGTCCTGCAAGCCTCTCATTCGAGGTACAGCCTCATCCTCACAACTTGGCTGATCTTCTTCTTTATGATTCAGCAAATGCACAACATTACTAACATGGTTAAGCCCTAGACTACCAGAGGATTCTCGTGCCCCATTAGAGATATCATGGACCCTAGAAATAACCATTCTCTCCTTGGCTGCATCAGGAGAGTTATCTTTAGGCTTTTCAAGGACTATTTTCCCATCTTTTTTCAGCATTTCCTTTTCAAGTTCAAGAGCATGAAGAATCGCATCTTCTCTACGAGCATACTTCTCCCTCTTTCTTATCGTCAACCCTTGCGAAGTTTCTACCCTTTCAATACAGTCATCAAAATCGCCACACCGAAATGGCTTGACCCGCTTTGATTTCTCTAAATTGTACCAATCCCTTAGCAAATTAAAAGATGAAACAACAATGCTTTCAGTATCCATCCAAAAAGAAAGCAAAGTTCATATAGATAAAAGAAGAGACTTACACACTTGCATCTTCTCTCCCAAGAAGCTTCACCGGAGTTCCAGATCGTGGCGATGTGATGTGCGTAGAGTCAAGATCTTCCTGACCTAGTATCTTCCCCGGCCACCATGAGCCATTCCTCCTCCTGACCCACACAATCGAACCCACCGTGCAATCCGCCGCTCCTGGTCCTGGGCTTCCCATCCTTACTCAAGATCACACTTTCTCTACGGGTTTCTTCTATGTCACTACCAGAAACAGGCCTCAAAAGTCTACCATTCCCCAAGAACAAAAAAACAATTTCTTTAACGGTCACGTATTGATCTACCTCAAAACCAGCTCAACCGCCGGTAATATAGGCGAATCCCGGCGGATCCGAGAACAACTGTAACAGACGGTAAACGAACAAAGTGATTCCGACGAGGACTAAGCTTTCCATTCAGATTTGGAAAATTCCCATAACCCTACGCTTTCCGCAGCGTTAGGTTAAAGTTAAACCTTCCTCTCTCTCTCTAGTTTTCGCCGACTCTCTATAACCTATGTAAAAGCGA